GGTTCCTGGCCCTGATCCTGCAAGTTGAAGTTCAACGGCCACTCTCTGCCTCTGCTTACCTGAGGGCAGCCTTGAAAACTCCAGGACACACCTGTGTCCATCTGCATGGTGATTCAGAAGTGAAAGAGAATCGACGCCTCTGGGACCAACTGGCATTGGTGGATAAATCCCCAGCTCCCTCACCTTTCCTAAGGGATAACTGAGGTGGGCGTTGTATGCAGTCTCCCAAAGTTCCAGTGGAATCCAGCTCCATTGCCCCCAGGAACTTGGTGGGTGACACTCCCTTTATTGGCTACCTTCCCTTTTCTGTGTCACTTCCCTCCTCCATTTCTAGTGTTTCTCTTTACTTCAAGTGTTCAAGTGAGCAATTATCGTTATTGTTTTTGTTGTTGTTATTATTATCATTATTATTGCTGCCCAGTATCCATCTTTCCTTCATTCATGGTTTTATCTTTCCTCCCTTCTTTTAAATATAGCACCATGATTTCCTTTAGAGGTCTATCCCCTTTCCTGACAACCAACCCAGGTGTTGTGAAGGCAGAAGCATGTGACCTGGGCCTGGTGAATCAGTACCCTGGATGATTAACCAGGGTACACTGTGATGTACTCTGTCACCATAGGGATGGGGACCTGACATTAAGGGTAAAAGCAGGACAAAGACATTCTAGGATTTTTTTTTTTTTTTAGCTAGGCTTCAATAATAGACTGAGGGAATGCAAAGTTTGAGCAAACATCTTCAAGCCATGAAGGGAGAACCTGTCTGAACAAGGAGGCAAAAACAGATCAAAGGTAAGGTGAGACAGAAGGGGTCCTGAGGATGTTGTTTCATTCTCTGGATCAAACCATTCCTGAAGGCAGTTCTACTCTGACCCTTTAATTTTGGGGTTTTTAAAATTCTCCCAGCTTGGGTTGGGTTTTGTTTCTTGCAACTCAAACAGTCTCAACTGATTTACCCAGTGGCCACAGGTCAAAGTAAGTGAGTGTCTCCTGGAAGAGCAATTGAGAGACCTGTCCACATGGGGCCACAGTGTAAAAGAGGCCACCTTGGTGCTCCTGAGACAGAGCAGATATATCATGGGCTTCTGCAGAGGGTAATGGAGTAAGAAAACCTGGAGTCCGGCTCCAACCCTGTCAACCTGTGACTTGACAGGCTTGTCCCTCCCTCTTCTGAACACCATTTTCCTATTTTTTCACTTATCATTGTCCCTAGTGCCTGAAGTTGTTAGAGAACTTTCTAGAACAAACCTGATTCATTGCTCCCTGATGTCTAGAGACTTCCATTTTTACATATAACTGAAATGAAATTTGGGAAAACAAATGACCTGACCTATGTGCAATTCATTTTGGTATTTTATTTTGTAGTCTATTCAAGGTCATATTCCAGCTACATTAATGACAAGAGCCAGTGAAGTTGTGATGCACAATTTGGAAACATTAGCCCAAAGCACTGTAACTGCAAGGCGTGCTGAGACGTGGACCCGGCATGCATGTAGACCGTGGGTCCGGCAGTCAAGGGAGATGTCTCAGAAGCACAGTCTTGCCAGAGGTGGCCCTGAAATGATTCACAAGTGCCTGATGACACAGTTGTGGGGATGTTCACTGATTCACTTATTCTCTGAGCACCTGCACTGAGTCAGCCTTTGTGCTGAGCCCTGGGTCTCAGAGTGAATTTCTCAAGAGTTCAAAGACAAGGAGGCAGACACAGGTTTACAGCACAGCGCAGAAGGATCATGACAAATACAGGTCCCAGGTCTCTAGGTGAAGGGGCATCTGGCCAGGCCTGTGGCCCCAGGAGTGACCATGATCACCTTGGAGACCCAGGGGATGTATCAGGATGCTGAAGCACTACAGTTTTCAAAGCTCAAGTTTTTCAGACTTGTTCTTGGAGGTCATGGATTATCCTATCCATTCAACAACAGAAAGAGCCAAGACAGAGCAAATTCAATGAGCACTTACTTTGTGCCTCGCTGTCCCTACAACGGATTCTCAGAGTGAAGGATGTGCCCAATGTCATGCTAATTAAAGGCATACAGATGCCAGGCTCCCCCACCAGGGTTTCTGGTCTAAGTTTCGGACTGGCTGTTGAAGTCTGGGCTCTGATATTGTCCTGAAAACCCCCCAGGTGATTCTAATGTGCACCCAGAATGCAGCTGCACTGAGCTGGATATAGGTTCTTCCTCAGAAAGGCCAGCCCCAACCTTCCTGCAAGAGCCACCAGGGAGTAGAGAAGAGCAGGACTGGGCAGTCAGTGCAAGGCCTGGAGAGCCAGCTTTGCTCCTCAACACTGGGGAGAGGAGGGTGACCGAGTTAGGGTGGCTGGGAAAGTCTCTCTCCAGAAGGCGGCAGTCAGTCTGTCCTCAGAGGAGGGCCAGGAGTCAGCCTTCTGTACACTCAGTGCTTGAGATCCTTCAGACTCATGCTGAAATCCAATCTCCAATGAGATGACATTAAGAAACGGGGCCTGTGGCAGATGATGAGATCACAGAGGTGGAGCTCTCGTGAATGGACTTAGTGCCCTTATAAAAGAGGCCCCAGAGAGATGGCTCACCCCTTTTTCATGTCACAGTGAAACGATGGTTGTCTGTGAGGAGGGCCCTTACCAGACACCAAATCTATAAGCACTTTGATCATAACCTTCCCTGCATCAGAATTGTGAGAAATAAACTTCTGTGGTTGATAAGGTGCCTAAGTCTGTGGTATTTGTGTTCTGGCAACTTGAATGAATAAAGACACAGACATAGAATGGGGGGGGGACCATCCTGGACAACTTTCCTGGGACCACTGTAGGCTGGTGGGGCTGGAACAGATGCCCAGCTGCCTTGTTGGCCCAGGCTTGTGATAAAACCAGGACAGTTCCCGCAAAATGTGGTCAAATTGGTCCCCTCACCAGGAGCCAAAGGACGAGAGGGAGGCTGATGTGAGGTGGGGCTGAGCGGGGCAAAGGCCAGTCCATGAAGGACTCAGATAAGATTTTACTGTATGCTCCGGGGACTGGGAGGAACACCTGTGGGAGGCCTGGAGATGTTGCCACAGGGAGCACTGGAGCCTCCAGGTCAGAAGGGAAGGAGCCTGTGTGGTAGTGACTCTGTCGTCTGATTTGGGAACTGCAGTCGGAGCTGTCCTATTTTGTGGAGCCCCCGAGCCCTTCTGTCTTCATTATTTAGGGCCACGACTTACCTTTTACTCAACAAAGCCAGAATGGGGCTGCCACCATAAAGCCCCTGGAATGGGGCCCAGGTGGCTGGCAGGGCCTCCTCAGAGAAACATAAGCCTTTCGTGAGCGGACTGTAACTATCATTTACATTAATTAGGCAGCCGGATAATAGGGTGTTCAATAGTTATTGCAGTCTTTAAATTCTGCAGCAAACACCGCCAGGAGCCAGAAGTTGGCAGGGGCTCGTGCCTTGCAAAAAAAATAGTCTTTTTCTCATCCTGGCAATGGGGCTTTAAATCTGAGGGAAAGGGAGCCTTCCTCAAGTCCTGGAAGGAGGGCCGATTTGGGGAGAGGGGCAAAGCCACATGATCCACCTGCTGGCTACGTGATCCTGGGTGGATTAATTCATGTCCTTGGCTAGCAATTGGGCCACTAATGCCCAAATCTCAGGACTATTCTGAAGTTCCACCAGGAGTTGGGACATGGAGGGAACCACTTGGCAAAACACCTGGTCCTGTATGTCCGGAAGATGATACTGTCATCTTGGCACTCTGAGTTTTTGTGTGACCCCACACACGTGAACCTTCATCCTTGTGCTTTATTCACGATGCTAGAGAGAACATGGCATCAGGAGGTAGTGCCTTGCCTCAGGTCACAAAGTTGAGCAGGCAAGGACCCAGCCCTCCAGCGTCCCAGCTGTGTGCCTGCATGCATCCCTCTCCCTGGTCCTGGCTTTGCTTGCTTTTCTAATTTCTGGCTGCCCAAGGCTCCTTCCCCTCGGACTTTCCTACCTACCCACTCCTCTCCAAGGAGACCTCAGCAGCAGTCTCAGCCCCGCTCCTTGGCCCTGCCAGCCTCAGCTTCCTGCCCCTCCATCTAACAGCCCAAATCGCTGGTGCCAACCCCCTCTCACCTAGTGGCCCTCCTTAGACCACTTGGTTGTGATAGATGGAGGCTCAAGGGGACAGGGGCAGAGTCCCTGAGGCCTTGATCATGTTTCTGTGTATATAATGTCAACCCTGTTGCAGGCCACGGGCGTCTTCCACAGGCCGTGCCTCCTGGAGGTTTCCTGGCCCTTACTCTGGCTCTGCTGGTTTACTTCTCCACCTCTGCCCTGGATTCCTGCTGCCCTGCCCAGTGCCTGAACGTCCAGCTGCATCTCAGCTGCTCTCCCCTCTGGGTCCTGCCCCCAACCTTAATTCCTGGCTGAAGGTTCCTTTGCCCACCAGACTCCAGCTCAGCTCTGAAATCTTGTCTTAAGGTCAGGTCCTGAGGGAAGCTTGCTCATCTCCACATCTGCCAGGGACCACTGACTTAAGCCCTGTTCCCTTCCCTGTCCCACCCCACAGCCGCCATTCACCATCCTACCCACTAAATTGTGAGCCTCACATGGGTGGGAACCAGCAGATCTGTGGCAACCACACCCTCGTGACTGAAGTGTTGCTGAATTCTTGGTCCCCAGAGGTCCAGGGCAGAGAAAAAGTCAATATTTTGAGAGGCTGGGGGAGACAATAAAATTGTGAATTTGGTGACATACTGCATTTCTTAGGACTTTGAGTTTTCTTGCTTTAAATCTGCGATTCTTAGGCAGGGGCCATTATGATAATTGGGTCCTGCTGTTAAAGAACAAGATTTGCCAGCGAAATGCTAAAATCATTTCAGATACCTATAAAACATTCACAAAATAGATTTAATTATTCTTTACAAATAACATTAAAAATATTTTTAGTTGTAGGTGGACACAACTACTTTATTTTATTTGTTTATTTTTTTATGTGGTGCTGAGGATGGATCCCAGTGCCTCACAGGTACTAGGCAAGTGTTCTACCATTAAGCCACAACCCACTGCTACAAATAACATTTTTAATTGAAGTATAACATACAAGCACATGGATACAAAGTTTATAGTGCTGTGTTTTCACCCAGCAAGTGCACTCATATTTCTAGCCCCCAGGTCACAGAGGTACATGTGACAATGACAGCCCTTTAGGCTCCAGTCCTATGCAGGAAGGGCACTGGGGAGACAGATCCTCAAGTTCCACCAGGAGTTGGGCCGCGGAGGGAACTACTCTGTTCACTGCTTCTGCTGTGAATAGAGTAGCTTCTGTGTGTTTCGGGCAATGGTGTGGTGGTAAATACTGAACAAGCCCTGACTTCTGCACGTGGTATCTGCTGTGGTGTAAATACTGCCATGGTAGGTTCAAGCTGCTGATGTGGAGTTGGGAAGAGATGCACCTATTGGCTGGCTGGTGTAAGCCTCTCTAGTATAGTACTGGCTTCAGGCCCATGTAATCATAAAAAGCATTGTAATCACACACTTTTCGGGGAGACCAAGGGCAACTAAGGGTGCTTCCCATCTCACCTTCACTGCAAAGCAAGCTTCCACTGAGCAGAAGGCAGGGCCATTAGCAGCATTAGCTGCAACATCATTTCCCTCTCCCTCTCTCTTTTTTAGCAGAGGGTGAAGTTTAGTTTGTGTAGATTAAATGTTTCCACAATAAATGCCACAACCCTTTTCTTTGCATCTTTGCTGCTGGAACTAAGGTCAAGAGTAAGTTGAGCCTTGAACTGGGGTTTCCTGACTCAGTGTTGGCAGCACACCTGCACCCTGGGGTTCAGTGGGTGAAACTGAAAAGGACAGAGAAGCACTGGTCACATGTCACAGCTGTTTGCAGAGTATAGGTTGATCAGTATGAATAGCAGCAGAGGAAGGCTCCAATGATGCAGGCTTTCTTGGCACCTGGGGACTCTTGCTGGCAAGGGTGCTGGCCAGCGTGGAAAGGTGGGGTAGCATGTTGATGTCAGGATATGGTGTTACTCTGCAGTGGACAAGCCACCTGGGGCTCTGACTGGGCCAGATGGAGGTCACTAGGTGGCATTATGGCTTCTGTGTGCACCAACCCTTATCCACTATCAGAACCAACCTTTGTCTTATTTTTTTTTTCCTTTTTGGTCAGACAAGAAATATTTACTGAACATTTACAAAGTTTGAAAAGCCATGTTCTGCATCACATGGGGTTTATGATGGTTACAATGGAATATGAGGTAGGCAACATCCCAGCGTTCATGGAGCTTACTATATCCTAGTGGGAGAAAATGACATTAAACAAGCAGGTAAAATTGTCAGCTACTGAGAAGGGCTTCAGAAGGTGTAAGATGGTGTAATATGATATGGAAGGGTTGCTGGGGGGGAACTAGGAGGGAAAGGGCCTCCCTGAGAAGGAGGCTTCCAAGTGTGGCAAGAGAATGCAGGGGAGGAGGGGGACAAGATGGCCTAGGTAGCAGGTGGCGAGGGCCTCAGCAACCCTGGTCAGGGGCATGACTTAATTGTGAGAGATTGCTCATGGTTTTTAAGCAAAGGAGTGGCCTGATTTGAGTCATGTTTCCAAAGGTCATGTGGCGTGGCCAGTGAGGGACTGTGGCTGGGAGTGGGATGGCAGGCAGAGGAGGGCTGGTGCAGGGAAGATGAAGAGCTGGGAGGAGAGCCACCAAGACCTCCAAAGATTGATTGGGGGCATGAGCACAAGAGAGGATTGGAAGATGCCTCCTGGTTTTGCCAGCTGAGTAACGGAGAGATGATGAGGCCATTTGCTGAAGTGGGAATGGAGGGGTGTGGATTTGCAGGAGGAAGTCCACGACTCTGGGTGAGGCCCTCAAGTGGGGATGCTCGTTAGATATCCAAGTGCAGATGTCAGGGGAACGGAATTTTTATTCCCTCAAAAACCTATTACAGGTCAGATATGTTTCCAGATAATTGGTGATCCACTGATCAAAATAAAGTCATTATTCTTAAGAAGCTTATATACTAATCAGGGGAACAAAGACAATAAACAAAGTTACATATTCAACTCTAATTGACAACATGATTGTGAGAGTCTTAAGTCTAGCTGGAAATGTGAATGTGACCACCTATGGAGGGAATGTGGAAAAGAATTCCAAAGCAGGCATACCTGTGTGCCTGGTGACTCTGGAGGACAAGGAAGGAGGATTGCAAGTTGGAGGCCAGCCTCCAGAACTTAGAGAATTTGTCTCAAAATAAAAAAATAAGAACTTCAATAGTGAAGTACCTTTGAGTTCAATTCCTAGTACAAAAGCAAAAACAACAATAACAAAAACTCCAAATATGGAGCTCAGGGCACATACCAATATTTGGAAGTTTGGAAGAGGAGAATCCACCCAAGGACACTAAGCAGCAGCAGTCAGGGAAGTGAGTGAAATTTGGGAGCATGGGGATTCAGAGGAGTTTTAGGGTGTAGGAACAATTAATGATGACTGATGCTGATGAGAAAGGCCAAGTAAGATCAAGATGGAGAATTGACTACTAACTTTGGAAAGACGAATCAATTGAGTGAGAGCTGTTCAATGGAGGGGCAGAGGCAAAAGAAAAGTGATGTTTTCCATTTCATCTCATCTCATCCTACTGAACCCACTCACCCCAATCAATTCTACCCTATCCCTGTCTATGCCATCTCACCTGCTCCATGATACCACCTCATGATCCATGATACTGTAGACATCTGGTATTTAGTGAGAATCTCTAGGCAAGTTCCTATAGCCTCCTCATCTTCCTCCCTCACCAAACCCCTCCTCTTCCAGGAGCTCAGCCTGATGGACCAGGAGAGAAAACCTTTTCTGTGAAAGGCATATGGAGAGGGGAGGGCAAATCTTTTCTCCTGAGAGCTTCCTGTTATGACTGGAGAGTATCGTCTTCTTTAGGCAAAGCTGACCAGGGCACAGAATGGTGAACCCCATTTGGGGCCTGTCCATTCAAATTCCCCCAGGGATGGCAGCTCTGACGCTACTCTGTGTGCAGCCCATCTCTGCGCCTGTCTAGTTAGCAATGCTCGTCCTTCACAGCTCAGGAAAAATTACCAAGAATGTTATTGACTCTAATTTTAATTTGTCTAACACTCTTGTTAATGATGTCTATTTAAGACATCCATTAAAGGCCCATGAGGTTAATTAAATGGACAATTCCAATACAGTTCTATTAGAACCCCCTCTATTAAATTAATATTATAGACATTTAACAGATGTCTTAATGAGGCATTATAGCTAAGAAATGCAAACTAAATTAACACTAAAGCCATTGTCCAGAAAGAAAGCTTTTTATCATAATTTATGGCTTTTTGGAGGAATGTTCATGTTTACTTTTCAGAACCTAGGAAATCAGTCATTTGATGATCTTTTCTGTCATCCAGAAAATGCTGGCCCAAGAGTTCCAAATCTTAAATCACAGTCCAGACATCAGAGCTGGAAGAGACTTTAGACACCATCTGGAGTCCACCGTCCTCAAACACCAATGATTGAAGGAAACAGCTGGGGTCTTAGATAAACACACAACTATCTAGGTCCTGTCCCTGGAGTCTGATGCAGTAGGTCTGAGGTACAGCACAGGATCTGGCTGCTTTTGACTTGCACTCTGCAGACTTGGATGCAGGAAGTTCCAAGATCTCATTTTAGGAAAATTTGATCTAGTCGAATGGCCCCACTTAGCAGTTGGTTACCCTAAGACCCCCAAAGACTTCAGGACTTGAATGGATCAGCAGAATTCACAATCTGCCCCATGAATTAAAACTTTCCTAGCAGTTCTTGCTATTTATCTCCTTCCATTAATGAGTTGGGCAGAACCTTAGGCATCTTCTATGGGTTTGAGACTGGCAGCCACACACCTTCTTCCCATCAGTGGACAGACCCCCCATGAACCTTTCACTGATTTCCTGGGTAATTTGTGATGATCCTGAAGCCTCTTGTCCTGAACCTGGGTTTGAATACATTCTTCAGATCCCACAGCTGCCCAAGCTTGGAGCTACATCCTCCCAGGGGCCTCCTTGGTTCATTCACGTTGCCCACCTTGGTATACATTTCCTCCCACAATAAGGGAGAAAGAGTTTGGCATTTGCAAAAATAAAGGGGAACTTAGCAAACCAAGGGTTTTAGGATCTATAGGGAGCAGCCCTGAATCTAAGTTATTGAAAGAGCAAGTAATATAACTCAGTGGAAATGGGAGCTCAGGGTCTAGAAATTGAACTGGCTAGTGATCCTAACACCTCGTATATTAAAGCCCTAAAACTCACAATATGACTGTATTTGGGGTTAGTTTGTTGTTGTTGTTGTTGTTTGTTTTTGGTTTTGGTACTAAGGATTGAACTCAGGGCCACTTTACTACTGAGCTATATCTACAATCCTTTTTATTTTTAAATTTTGAGACAGGGTCTTACAAATTGCTAAGATGGCCTCAAACTTGATGTCCTCCTGCCTCAGACCTGAATTATTGGGATTAAAAGCATTAAGCAACTATGCCCAGAAAGAAATAGGGTCTTTAAAGAGGCAATTAAGGTTAAATGTGGTCATAGGGTGGTGCCCTAATCCAACAGGACCAATGTCCTAATTAGAGGAAGTCACACTAGAGAGACCTCTCTCCCCTTGCATACAGATGACAGGCCACATGAGAACACAGTGAGAAGGCGCTGGCTGTCTGCAAGCCACGAAGACTTCTTCTGGCCTCACTAGAAGCCAATCCTGACAGCACCTTCATTGTGGACTGCTTGCTTCTAGAACTATGAGAAAACAACTCTGTTGCTGAAGCACCGTCTATGATATTTTGTTATGGAGGTTTGAGCAGACTGATAGCACCCTCCAGTTGCTTTTCTCCCCACAGAGAGGCTCTGGCTTGTCCCCTGGGTGCTCTGTGTTGCAGCTAATCCTCAATTCAGAGATGGCTCTGGGAACTAGAAAAGTGCCTCAGGGCCTGCTCACTCTGGAGAACAGTGGGTCTCTGGGCTGACACCTCCTGATCTAGAAGCCTCCTAAGTCCTAACTTAGAGATGGTAGCCACCTTTTCTCCCCATTGGCCTCTCTGGCACTTTTTCTGGTGCATGATTTACAAGAGGCAGACTAAGCTATATGGAACATGGGCTTGCACTTCAAGGCCTCAGCCTCTACTAGGGTCCTGCTCCTTGGTTAGACACAGATCAGACTGCCAAGTACCACTGCGACAAGGCTTGAGTCACAGCCTGTGGGGACATGGCCATCCCTGATCCATGCTCCTGCTCTGTGTAGCTTCATCAAGACCTGTGCCCTTCCTGACTTGGCCCTCTTCTGCCTGGGAGGAGGATGTAGACCTTAGTGCCTGGGACCTGGTAGCCCCTGGATGGGCCAAGAAGACAAAAGTACATCCCAGAAACCAGCAAGCACAGCCACAGCTTTGTGGCAGGTGAGGGTTCTCACCAAGTCTCCTTTGGCAGAGTGGGAGAGAAGTCTACAAATTATACAGCCACTCACACAGAAACTTGAGTCTGCGCCAAATGAAAAACAGATTTCACATGGCAAGTGGTACCAACAACTTTTCTGGAAAGCAACTGTGTATTTACACAACATTGGATGCCTTTTACATTGCAGAGGGGTGGGAACGGGCAGGATGGCTCAGGGAGTTATAGCACCTATGCCGCTGTTACAAATGTGGCACTTTCAGCTGGTTGGAAGAACAGAAGCTACTTTGCACTGAAGGCAGACATTTCCTTAGTGGGAAGGCAGGTAGTAAAGACAGTATATTATATACTTTAGCACATTCTCTTTCTCTTCTTTGCAGCCATTCTACAGTAAAAAATACAGCTCTAGAGCCAGGCTATTAGGTTCAAATCCCAGCTTTTTTGCTCTCAGTCAGTGAGGCCTTGTAGTTACTATGCCAGGTTCCCTGTCCAAGGTTATACTGGCACTTGAGCTCTGTCCCCTAGTCCATGCACCATAGCAGCAAAGACTGTGTGCTAACTGGAGAGAGCACCTGCACTGCCTCAGAAGCATCCTGGAGAGCAGTGGGCCCAACATACTGGATGGAAGCAGGGCCAAGCAGCGAGGCTGGTCCCGTGGAACTGCAGATGCACTGAGCTTCCAGGAGGTGCAGTGTCACAGAGCTAGGTCTTTCTGTTCTCCTGTCACAGAGTCAGTGTTTACACTTCCCTTCTCCACCCTGGTGTTTCTCTTCCAGTGTGGTCTGGGTGGAAGACACTAGAAGGCAAAGCTTCTGGCATCGCTGCTTCTCCTGGGCTAAGAAAAAGCACATGAATTGGATGTCACCAGGGATGCTTCTGCCCTCACCTTGGTGGTCAACAGACACTTGCTTCTTAAAGGGAAGGAACAATCTGTCACCCCGAGCCATGTTTCTGACCCATGTGGCTTTCCCAGCACCAGCCACTGGAAGGCTGGTCCCCCACACCATTGGTACTTTGCCCCCCGGCCTGTTTTTCCTCTGGCCCTTCGTAGAAGGGCCTTGTCTACTGGCCACAGAGAGCTGGAGTCAGGTTGAAAAGCCAAGTCTTTCAACAGCAAATGGTATTAAGATATGGAAAGGTGCCATGTGTTGGGGACTTCGGTTTTCCTAGGTGAGACCTTGGAAAGTGATGCAGTTAACCTGCCTCTGGAGCCCAGGAGACTCAGGAGGGAGAATGCAAACTGTAGGTTTAAGTTACTTGTACTGGAACAACTGCTAGTAAGCACAGAGGGACCTAGTGTTTTGTCTCAGTAACCCACTCCTCTTCTAATCCTTGAAGAAATGAAACAGATATTATTATTACTGTGTATATATATGTGACTGCATGACCAATGTGATTCTACAACCTGTATACTCATAAAAATGAGATTTTGTAACCCATGTGATTCAAATGTATGATATGTCAAGGTCATTGTACTGTCATGTGTAACTAATTAAAACAAATAAAAAAAACACCAGTTTTTTTTTTAAAGAAATGAGCCTTAAGACACTTAGCAACTTCATCACTCACTCCTCTTCAACTTTCCCTCTCTCCCCTCCTTTTTTTTGTCTGCTACATCCCTAGCCCTCTCATAACTTTCTTTAAACTGCAACATAAACCTTAGTTAGCTCAGTGAGTTTGATGACAGGTACTTTTAAAAGTAATGTATCAAAGATGTGCTGCACCAATGTGAAAGGCAGGGCATGATGGCATAACTCTGTGGCTCCCCTCCCTTTCAACCTGGTGAGTTGCAGGAATAGTTCTTTTTTAAAATATATCTTTATTTCATTTATTTTTATGTGGTAATGAGGATCGAACCCAGTGCCTCACGTGTAAGGCAAACGCTCTACCACTGAGCTACAGCCCCAGCCCAGGAATGTTTATGCATACATGTATATTTTATTACAACATGAAGAAGTGATCATCATACAACATTCAGAAAACACAAAAATATGAAAAAGAAATAAACAAATAGTTCCACTCTTCAAATAAAGCAGGGTTAATCCTGGTGTGTTCTCTGCTATTCTCTTCTCTCCATGAGAGTAATATAAAATTAAGATCACTTAGAAATAGACCTCTGTCCCCTGACTTCTTTACTCAGTGCATTGTGCATATTCCCATATTACTCCATGTTCTTAACTCTCATTTCCCTTGGGTGGAGGTGGTCTACTACCAGAATCTCTTCACTGACAGGTGGTCTGTAGGGTGTTTCCAAGTTTCAGGTGTCACAAACAATTGTCAAAAGTGGCAAATAATTCACAGGTCAATTATTCCCTTTGCTTTGAATTTCTTGGCAGACCGCTCACTTGACCGAAGCTGGAATTTGCTCCCATAAATGTAGGAAACAAAGTCATCAATTTCTACTGTGAACACACAGTTTACCTTGGGGATAACTGGGTTAGGGTGGGGAGAAGAAAAAGGATGAGAAAAAAAAAATCCAGTGGTAAGTTCAATTTTATGTAGAATGTTATTCACAAAACACATGTATTAAAAAAAATAAGCTAAGAAAATAGGAAACAGGAAAACCCACCAAGGTAGCAGCACATGACTACCTGTGGTTATTCTGTCATACAGCCAATTGACTCACATTCTAAGTATAACTCAACACCTAATTCTCAGGGCCAAAGGCTATGAACCAAATTCTCAGAACAAGAAGCTCCCAGAACAACTGCAGAAACAGGTTTTTCCACATAACCTTCAGACAGGCTCTTGGCCTTATGCTCAGTGGAGAAACTTTCACACCACTTTCTGAAGTTTATAATGTTTAGCAGAACATACGAAGGAACAGTGACTGGGGGTGTAGCTTAGTGGTAGAGTGTGTGCTGGAAAAACAAGAGAGAAGGAGGTGGGGATCTCTGAAATTCTGGCAGACCCAATGTGCCTGCTTGAGCAATGCTGGCCATAATGATATCCTAAGTGTCACCACAAAAAGCATGGTCCTCAGAACTCCAGGCACAGGAGTTCTCCAGGCACATGGTCCTCCGTTATCTGTTTACTCCTTTGGAAGGTAGCAACTTTTGGAAGATGGAGGGTCCCACACAGAACTTAGACAGAAACAAGCAGTCGGGGCTGCTGGCCAGGTACACAAATGCCTCCTGGGAGGCCCAATGGGCAGGGGTGGGCTCTGCAGGCTAGGAATGTAGAGTTGCTAAGTATCTGCAATCTGTCCTGACTCAATAGGACAAATGGAACTCCTGGAGCCTCAAAGAGATAAGGTAGCAGGTAGGGAGACCACAGTCCATAATACCCTTAGAGACATGGTTACATACCTTTCAGACGATCTTCTTTGGTGATAATTTTGAAAACATGCTTTGTTTCCTGTAGAAGGATTCCTGTGACACCCACGTATGAAGGGCATTTGGATTTTGTGACTGCAAATGAGAAAGGTAGCTGAAACCTCAGGCCTCTCTGGTGTTGGAAAAGCCAGTCAGCCAGTCCTCAAGGGTTTGGGGGTGCTGGTTCCATTTACTGACCTAGCAACAGAATAAAGGAAGCACCCAGAGGGTAGAGGCTTCACAGCTTACCCAAGTGAGAAGTCAGATTTCCCAAATCCTTGCCCTGGAGCTTTGTTTTGTCTGGGTTGTTCTTATGAGATGCCCTTTGGAATGCATGTGGACACCAGGGTCTGAGGAAGGGTTTTGGAGACAAGAGGTCATAGGTGCTCAGCATCACCAATGCCCAATGTCTGTTTTTCTGATGGAGCCAATTGTCATTGGCAGAATCTGAATGAACACCTTCCTGTTGTGCATTCCCCAGGATCTCCTGAACTCTGACTGGAATGGGAGTCCTGCTGTAGAGCAGTCAGCAATGTCAGGCGAGTCACCACCATAGGCAGCAGGGTCTTCACCTGTCCTGACCACTGACTTGGTGCTGTATAGATATTCACTAAGCATCTACTATGTTCCTGGTACAGTTGTAGGTAGTGCTGGGAGCACAGCACTGAATGAGATGATTCTGGATCCTGCTCTCATTCAATGTTCTAACAGTGGTGGTGGTGGGGAATGTGTGGCAAAACACAGAAAAATATATTTTCTCAGTAATAAGTTCTCTGAAGAAAATAAGGACAGAGTAAGAAGGTAGAGGGGGCCACTTTTAGCAATGGCAGACCCTCAGGAGAAGTGATATCTGAGAAGGGGCCTAAATAATAAGAAGCAGTCAGTAGATGAACACACAGGATAACTCTCTGAGCAGAGAGAAAGAACAAAGGCAAGGTCCCTAAGGCAGAGGCAAGTCCAAAGAAGTGAGGCAGAAAGAAGGCCAGTGTGGTTAGACTACTGCCCAAGGGAAGTAAGCCGGGCCTTTCAGACAATAGTAAGGAGGCAGACTTACTCAAAAAGGATGGAAAGCTCTCGGGAGGTTTAAAGGAGGGAAGAGACATGAGTTGATGTGTTCTTTTTTTCCCTTTCCTTTGTGTGTGTGTGATGGAACCCTGGGCCTTGAGCATGCTAGGCAGGTGCTCTACCACTGAACGATACCTGTAGCCCTTCATGATCTGATTTCTGTTATAAAACCTTTGGCTGTGTGATCTGGGGAAGTGTGTCCACTGGGAGAGGGTTAGGCAGCTCCTGAAGAAATGCAGGACAGATGGTGGTGGTTTAGATTTGGCTACTAGGATGTGCTGATAGACTAGAAGAGAATTAGAAAAGAAGAAACATGCATATCTCTTACATGTTTGGCTTGAACAGCCAGAGTAAATGGTAGTTCTATTAATTAAGATAGGAAAGACCAGGGTGGGGCTGACTTGAGGGGAGACTAAAAGTTCTGTTTTGAATACATAGTTTGAAGTTCCTACTGGACACCAGGCCTTGTGTTCAGGGAAAAGGTCTATGCTGGAGATGTCAACTTCAGAACCATCTGTCAGTCACAGCAGACTTTGGAAACCGTGTGACAGGCTGAAAGGGACTCTGTGTTCAAGATTCTTGGCCATGTATAAATTCCCACAGAGTGTGTGCAGAATGTGTCCAACAAGATCAGAATAGGCCCAGATAGCTATAACCATCTATGACCATGCTGATAATCTGGAGATATTTTGAGGAACCCATGTGGCAATGTAAGAGCTATGTTGCTACTGAGTGATAGTATGAACATCTGGATGACCAGGTGCTCTTAAGCAAATTACCTGAAATAATAGCACCGTGAAGATCTGCTTTTAACAGCTTGGCTTGAATCATCTGTGGCTGCCTACAAGGTAAACAGAAGCCCTGAATTTATACCATGATGAAGAGTTCTGAACAAAGCAAACAGGTCTACAAACTTCTGCAGCCAGGCAACACAGACAGCTGCTTCCTAAGGCTGCACTGACAATTACCCTAAGATTTGGGATCTATTCCAGTGGGTAAATCCTCAAAAACCAACTCACGTGTCTGGCTTGAGACCATTGCACAAGTCCCGGATATACTGTTTCCAGAGTTCATGCAGAGGGAGAAAAAGACTGTATCTGTGATCAAGTCAGAAACAGGTGAAAAGTTAGGCAATATCATTAGCTTGTTGTTATAATGTTCAAATAACACAGAGCTTGACTTCATGCCAATAATGATGACCTGGAACCATTAGGGACTGGGTGTAAATCCTAATTCCACTGCTGACAATTTAACTAAAATCAGATACCTTTATCTCTTGAACACTGGTTTCCTCGAAGGTAGACCTTTTTGAGGTTGCTTCTGCTAATGAGAAAAGAAAGGAGCGGCCCTTCTTTGCCCTGTCATTCTTCCTGCTGGTTAGATAACAGCCATGACACCTGGAGCTTCAGCAGTCATCCCAGACCCTGAGGAACATCTACAGGCAATAATGTGCTGTTTGGGTCCCTGATGGCTATGAGACTGGCTGCCTTACCAGGGTGCCATTCATCTGTTCTTCTCATGAGAGAGAAATGACTGCAGTATTATTTAAGTAACTGAATTTGAAAGCTAATCTGTCACATATTATTGAACTTAGGGAGCCCACGGTGTACAGGAGTTGCTAGTTGTCATGCTGGTACTCCTGTAAGGTAACAGGTCTGTCTGGAAGGCGATGGAGCAAGTGGTGGGAAGGGAAGAGAACAGGTGAGAGTCCCCAAAGGCCTCCCTCCAAGGCTATTATCACTTGTCTTGGTGTTTCATGGGGAATCTACTTACATGAATGAGGCCATGGGTTAGAGAAACAAGAACCACAAACTGAAAGCCGAAAATGACCTCTACTTGTGAGGACAGCAGTGAGGTAACCCTGGGGCAGGTAACAATCACCTCCTTCACCCACAGCCTGCTGCTGGTTTCTTGAGAGGGGCCATGGTCAAAATGACATATTTAAATTGTCTTCTGGAATGTGGAAGGCTATTTGGCTATAGATCTCCAAGCAAAAGCCTATAAATAGTCCCAAGACACACAAACTCAGAATTATTGCCAAAGGGAGACAGAGTGTCAGCCAGAGGAAAATGTCCTCCCACAAGATGGTGATACATTCCTTTCAGAAATTTTCAAAATGTGTAGGCAGAATCTTTCTCTGGCAATAAAACCCCAATGTGTGATTCTGTAGAGTGATATTAAAAGCTACAAAGAGTTATATATTAAGAAATATCAGTTCTTCTTTTCTAAGAAAGCCAAAAGACAAACAGCCTGTTGCCACAGGCAACAGACTCACTTATGGCACTGATCTTATTAGTTAAGGCTAGGAGAGAAGCCAAACACTGAAGAGTCCTCAGTCTCACCATGCCTTGCTATTAAAAGCAAAACCCAAACACAGTATGAATTGGTAAAGGAAGGCTGCCCCCTTGTGGAGAAGATGGAGAATTAAGTGGGGCAGAAGCTGCTTAGCCAGCCACTGCGTTCCCTGCCTACTTCAAGACTTGGCAGGGATAGGACAGCAAAACAAAGGCAGGGCTCACCTCTGTTGCTCTGGTTTAATGTCAAAGAGCCGAAGATCCCTCCTCTGTCTGGCGGAGAGGCCTTTGGATTTCTTTTTCTTCTCCTTTCGCTTCCTGCGGGTGAAGTACTCCAGAACAACAGCCTTGCGCTGCAGCTGATCCTCACAAGCTTGTTGGCTCATGTGGGGCATGCTCCGCTTTAGGAAGGCCCTCACAAAGGCCTCTGCCTGACTTGCTTCCTGATGCTGCACAGAGACAGGGTGGTGTAGTACTCATCATTCTGGGCTGCCAGGACGCCAGACACTCTCACCCATCACTCCCGAAAGCCACCATCTTCGCTGACCCATCTGTCTACCCACTGAGGCTCACACAATCTTTATCTGCCAAGTGTTTGCTACCCACAGTCATCAAGATGTCACATCCATATGCCAACTTGTGAGTCTGTCACACTTAACCATCATGTCAAACACTGACTTCCTGTCCTGCTTCTCTGAGGTTATTCTGTTAAGGATTAAAAAGCCTTTTTATTTAGAAAAAGACTTCTCTCATCCTCAGCAGGGAGCAAAGCTTGGAAAATGTATGACAATGATATTTATTCAGTCCCAACCATATGAAGGAGACTTCAGTAGAATCAAGCTATGTTGTGAGGGAGAGGAACCTAAAACTAGGGAATAGAGCAAAACTAAGAACCTCAGGGTGGCCAGGAAGTAGGAATTCTCATACTGAGCCCACACCACAGTCCTCTTTCCTTGGGTATCCAGCCCTGTGTTCAGTGTGGCTAGTCTTTAAGTGATCTGTTCCTTGAAGAAAGGTGTCCAGTGCATCTCAGGTTCCTGGCTCACTTTCTCCAATGAGGCAACAGAGTCAAGGTACTATGAATGAGCACTTGCTCTTAGAGAGGACTTTTGTCCTCTGCCATAATTGTGTATAATTCCTTAAAAAACTGCAATTGTCACTGCCTCTCAAGTTGGAATTCCAGCAATCTATTACTCATCGGGCAGTGGGTGTCTCTGCCCTCTGGTCTGCTATAGTCTTGGACAGTACTCTTTACTGAAGACCTGCCTTTTGGTTTGGCCATTTGCTTGGCTCTTCTTGCTCGAATTGGATTATAAATACTAGACGAGGTTAAATGAAAGATGAAAACTTATGTGTCAAAATCTCTTCATGGAGAGGTGGTTCACAGTAAGGATGGCAGGAATAACATTTGTTTCAGCTTTATACTTTTAGACGCTAACTAGAAATGAATTCATTATCATTATTACTAAAGATGAGAAGATCCTTTTTTAAAAAAATTCTTTTAAATACCTACGTGGTCTTTCTTTCATAAAGCAGCAAAATAAAGGTATAGTGGTCTTTCAAAATCTTGATTTCAAGGTCTTATTATGAGCCACAAAATAGAGCTTTTGCCTAAATAACCAAACATGTTGAAACATCCAAATATAATCTGTAAATTCCTCTTATGAAATGTGATTTGTACACCTTCTTCAGGAGTGAAGGGAGTACAGTGACAAGGTCAAATGATAGTGCTCATCAGGGTAGTTAAGAGATGGGCATGGCCTAGTACTCCCTACGTAGTGGGAGATGACAAAAGATCAAGGAGTCCAAGTTCATTAAACTTGACTTTGGCACAACAGGAAAGGAGGCTGGCATATGGAAACATTGGCACAACAGACCTTGATGTAGTCAAAGATGTCTACCAGAAAGATGAGAAGTAAATGCAGGCAAGTACAGTTAAACCAGCACTAGAGGCTTAGAAACAACCAAGACTTCTTCACCACTGCCTCTGTTGCTCCTGGACCTCCTCCCCAAAACTGTACCTGAACATCGTACTCTTTTGCCTCTTTCTGAGAAAAAGCACGGTAGATCACACCTGGGGGATGAAAGGGGGAAAAAAAGAAGAAATGATCTATTAGATATGGCTCAAAGATTGAAGGTTTTTCTAATTATGAAAATAACTATGCTCATTCAGAGGTTGAAGATGTGAAGCAAAGCTTGTTTTCTTGTTTTTTTTTTTTTTTGGGGGGGGGAGGTGGGGTAGAAGACTGAACCCCGGGACCCGCTCATGCCAGGCAAGTGCTCCACCATGGAGCAAGCACCTCCCACCCTTCTTGGATTGCTTCCCTTTGGCAATGTCTGTCCTAGATATTCCAAGGGTATGATTTAAAAAGAGTGCTTTTCAAACTTTAATGTGTTTAAGAAGTGTGGGATCTTATTAAAACATGGATTTTGGGTCCCTACTCCCAGATTCTACATTTCTAACAAGTATGCAGATGATATTGCATGTTATTGGACCACCCTTAAAGTTGCCTAGTTAAAAACACAAGTCAGGGGGCTGGGGATGTGGCTCAAGTGGTAGCGTGCTTGCCTGGCATGCATGCGGCCCGGGTTAGATCCTCAGCACCACATACAAACAAAGATGTTGTGTCCGCCGATAACTAAAAAATAAATATTAAAAAAATTCTCTCTCTCTCTCTCTCTCTTTAAAAAAAAAAAAACACAAGTCAGAATTTTGAGCAGTTGTTCACTATGTCTAAATAAGCAACTCATTTAAAAGTAATGTGATATAGCTGTCCGGGTTGTGCATGGTTAGAAATACTACATTTTGCTGATTGCTTGATGTTTAAGAAAGATTTTTCACATTTTAGTATTATGAAATTAAAAAAAAATATATATATATATATATATAATTGATCATATCCTGAACTGATAAAATATAGTGGTCTTTCGTCACTCTATATATTGGTCAATGTGGTGTCAACTTCTAAAAGCTTCTACACTCCTTTTTCTTCCTTGTCTGAAAAAGAAAACTGTGTATTGGGAACAAAGAACAGGTGTGAATGGAATAAAATTGGGATAAAGGTCTAGCATAAGAGCCAAATGAGGGCTGGGGTTGTAGAGCACTTGCCTTGCATAAGTGAGACCCCTGGTTTGAATCCCAGCACCACATAAAAATAAACAAATAAAATAAAGATATTGTGTCCATCTACAACTAAAAAAATAAAATAAAATAAAAGAGCCAAATGACTAGAAAACTAAATTCATGCTACACTTTATAATTTCAACCAGGCATTCTGTGCTTCCCTGAGTACATTTTTTAAACATATATATATATATATATATATATATATATTTAATTGTAAATGGATCTCCTGTTTAATTTATTTATTTTTATGTGGTGCCGAGGATTGAACCCAGGGCCTCACACATGCTAGGCAAGTGCTCTACCACTGAGCCACAACTCCAGCCCCAAGCAAATCAAGGAGATTTTAAGTTCTATATAGAGTCCAATTATCCCTCAAATGGGAGATGGAAATTATAAATTGTTTGTAGGCATTTCCAGGGCCTGGAAATTTCAACTGTCATAAATGTCTAGCATTAGACTTGGAAGTCTCTCTGCAACAATACATAGTTATCAAACACTCATTATTTGCTAGGAAGTTGATAAAATGGCACATATACTTTATGTCTCATTATGGGGGGGGAAGAACAGTCAATGTAGATAATAAATGATTGGGTTGGATAGGGAAGATAGAGGCTGGTTTGAAAGTAAAGTATTTTATTTTGAAATAAAATACTAATACCTTCAGGACACTTCCCCTGCACCCTCAAGGTTGCCAAGGTTACCTGCCTCCAGGGAACTGTTTCTCCCTGCAAGCAATAGTTAACAAATGCCTCCTGGGCTACTCTCTTCGGGCCTGTATTCCTAGATGGCTACTTTCTCACTCTTGGATCACTCCACCTTTTGGTCCCCAGTCACATAGGCAAGATAATGGAAGAAAGGGAGCATGAGAACAAAGGAAATCTAAAAATCTATGCAAGGGGCAGGACACCCTGACTTCCTCTGACACCCAGCTCTGAGATGCGTTGTACACTTGTGTTGGAGTTTTTTGGGTGTTTAATCTTCACACCAGGGAAATGGGACTCATTCCTGACTCTTATCACCGGTATAAATTCACTTTCTAAGCAATCCTTTTTTTTTTTTTTTTTTTTTGCGGGGCGTGGAGGTGTGGGGGACTCAGGATTGAACCCAGGGATTCCCTTGACCACTAGGCTACATCCCCAGGCCTTTTTATTTTTTGAGATAGGGTCTTGTTAAGCTGCTTAGGGTCTAACTTGCTGAAGCTGTCTTTACACCTACAGTCCACCTGCTTCAGCCTCCTGAGTCGCTGGGATTACAGGGATGTGCCACTACATTCGGCCTAAGCACTCTTTTAAAATTGTTATTTCCATTTATGCACACGAGAAAACTGAAGCTCAGATATGTTGAGACACTTTAACTTGAACACATAGGTAGGAGGCGGCAGAGGTGGAAATCAAAATTCTGATCTTGATCTCCATGCCCTCTTGCCTAAAACGGGCCCCGGTGCTTGCTTCCCCTCCCTGGTATATCTCTTCTCGGTTCAAATCCTAAAGCCTTGGGTTCGTGATGATTCCCCAGCAGCTCCCAGCACTTTACACCAGACAAAGGTGGGTCAACAGGTGATAAAGGGCTGCAGGGCCTGGTCCGCAGTCACCCAGAGAGGTAGTGGCTAGATGAGGCCAATCTCTTGGGCCTTCCTGCTCCAGCACTGCGAGGCGCTGAGCAGTCTCCGGGAGCACCTGCCTTCTACTCTGAAGTCAAATCCTAGCTCACAGACCGAGTCACCTTTTATGTAAGGTGTGACAATTCCCATTGTAGTCAGGTAGCCCTGACTTATTTCACCCACTAGCACCAAGTCCCCGACCCTTACATCCCCATCCCACACCAACATCGCGGCCCTCAACCCCTTACTCTTCATTGTCGGGCCGCTTCCGGTGCTCTCTGATGACGTCTCCCTCAGCGTCGTTCACTCTTTCCCTCTCTTCACTCTGTCCTGCAGCTCTCAGCCACGAGGAGGCTCTCTCTGCAAAATTTCGGCGGAAAAGGTTCCTTGTGCCCGAAGCTGCGCGGTGTGAGAAATCCACGGATACTCCGTTGTCGGCCTCCGGAGACTTTGGGAGCGCGGAGTTGGCGCCGCGCGTGACGTCACCAACGCGTGCCGGCCGGGGTTGCGCAGGCGCCTTGGGGGCTGACTCGCTGGGTTCTGATTCGCTGGGCGGTTTCAGTTTGGGTCTTCTGTAGGCCAAGTGTTCAGGTTGGGTTTAGGGCATACGGAATACTGGTGAAGACCTGGAGTATGGCTAGGCAAACCCATTTGGAGAGGACACGAGGGAGGTTGGGAACCGTGGAGGGCGCAAATAGGACGGGGATGGTGGTGCTACCCGCGGCAATGATGTCTGCGTTTCCTAACCACGGTTATTAACAATCAGCCGAGGCAGCTTCAGCTGTCGGTGCAGGCAGTGAGGTTGGGACGGGGGCTCAGGATCTGTTTCTCTTTCTGCTACTAACTAGTCTTGTGCACTCGATTAAGGCGTTTCCCATGCCTGGGCCTCTTTCCTACCTGTAGAGTGAAGTGGGTCTTGCTGGTTTCAGGTTTTTTTTTTGTTTTT